ATGATACTGAAATCAGTCAGACAGAAACTTGATAACACAGTTTTGAGTATTAGAAAGCAGGCTTTCTTTATTGCAGTGCTGGGTACTTGGAGGATCCTTCCTCTAATTGAGTGCACTGAGCATCAGGTAAACAGTTTTTATCATACACACTGGTTACATAATCATTACCTATCTCTGCTTACTTGATCTATATGTATTACTTTATTTTACATAGTCGCACCCCTTATTGGAAGTCCTTATATAGTCTTTTGGGGTCTTTGGTGGTCTTCAATGTCCCATGTCCTAATTTCTAGGTGGCCATTCCTTGACCCCAACTCTTGAGAAAGTGCAATACCATTGTTTTGCATGACTCCTGCTTTATCAGCCTTATCTACTTCTCCAAGTCTGCATTGTTCCCTTTATTTGGTAAGAGGAAAATGTTGTTCTGTTCTACTATCCTTATCAGCTTTTTTATTAAGTTTAGGAGTCTTTTCACTTCTCTGTCTGATTTCTAGATGAGAAAAATATGGGAAAATGCAAAGCTAATTAGTCTATTCCTATTATCACATTCTTTTTCCTTTTGTAATATGGACAGATAGTTCCTTTGAAAGTCTTTCAAGGGTATTATTAGCACCTTCATAGCCTGGTAACTTCTTTGAAGGCTGATTGTAGTTTTGGCCCTTGTCACAGGGAATATATAATTCATTAAAAGTAAGTGCTTTTTTCCCAACACTGACTAGGAAACAAAGGGTTTTCTTCTTTTTCTGATTGGTTAGTTTGCAGATCACAAGTATACTTTAGCAGTTTTTTCTGATGTTAAGAAATAGCTACTGTCAGCAGCTTGTTACATACACATTACTTTGGTAATGTACCTTCTGCCTGTTGCGATAGTAACCTCAGAACCTCAGCAGCCAGAGAAATTAATTTTTACAAAAGTAAAGTAATTATAGCTACAATTAACTTCTTAGACTCGGTCTGTAGTGTAAATTTACGCAGTTACTAGGTTACTGGGGTTTTTTAAAAGTAACTCTATGCAAATTTTTTTTTGTTTGCTTTGTTTTGTTCCTTTGTAAAATGCTTCGCTTAGTACATACCATTTGGGTGAGAGGTCATAACCACAATTTGTCTCATCAAAATAAGATATTTCTTAGCAGGTGGTAAAAATAAAATCCTAGTGCCATGTAGTTCTGCCCTAAATTGTTTGCACAGTTGCTGCTAACTGTTTAACTGACTCCTCAGTAATAATAGTGACTATCTGGTTTTGGACTCCACCTTAAGACAATGGTCAGGATGTTTCCAAGATCTGTATCTTTAATATATTTTTAAAATTTGAAGTTAATAAACTAACAAAACATGTTTTTGGCAATAGTTGGCAACACTTTTTGTGTGAAAGTCCATGTTTATGACAATTTCCTTGTTTGTTTGAAAGAGTGCATGTGTGTAGCAACTTCTTGTGTATACTGAACCAGCAGTTGTGTCACAATATCTGATTGCAGAATTTGTGCATGCATGTATGTGGTAAAGCTTCTAAGGGCTTCTAATTTTATCTAGGCATTGTCTTTTTTTTTAGTTAGACCCTTATCCTAAAATCCCTTATGCATGCCTGTTATGTGATTAAAATTTTTATATGTGCACATGTCACGGGTAACCCAAAATGCTGTTGTATTCCATATCTATCTGTGCCCAAAAATTGTTAGTGCCTTTTTAAGACCCTGCAGCCAGAAAACAGAACCGGGCGAGGGGGGGAGAACTTTGCTGCGGTCCTTTTTGAAGTTGGAGCCTGGAAGCTGAGATGTCTCTCTCTCCTGGCAGCATTTGCTGACGGTGGAGGCTCCACTTTTGAGGGGCTTGTTTTGTGTTTTTTGGCTTTTTTTCTGGGCTTGCAAAAGTAGCCACTCAGAAAAACTGCATTTCACAATCAAAAACTGTTTCGGAGTGAACTTGTCAATGCAAGCCTCAGTCCCTGGGACCAGGTCACCCTGCATCGGTGCCAACAGGCCAGTTCTTTTTCCCCAACACAACTGCAGTGCAGAAGACAGCAGCACCAACATCAGCGGACTCCAGCGGGTGGCAGGAGGAAGCAGCAGGAGACGGTGCTTACTTCACACATGCCGGCAAGTCTTCATCTGCCACTAGAACTGCTCTGCAAGCTCCTACCTTCCCAGAAGGGTTTGCCACCATCCTTCCCCCTTGTCTCCCAGACCGTGTGATCACCTGTAAAGGCTGCCATCTTGGGGGAAGGGTCAGATGCCATTTTCCCTGTCTCCTTACACGTGGTTGCCAATGGCAGGAGCCATTTTGGAAAGGGAATTTCTACCATTTTAGGTGTCTGTTCTCTGGGAGTTTGTGAGATTTAGAAATTTTGTTTCTAGTGATTATTTACTGGGGTTTTTTGCCTGTTGCCGTTTTGCTTGTTAGTAAACTGCTATTTTTTCACTTATGTCTATTTGTATTTTGCTTCTCCTTATTGGTGGAAAGGGATTGGTTAAAACAAAGGGAAAGAACTCAGAGTTTTCCCCTTTAAATTGTCTTAAACCAAGATCACATGTTTTCTCACATGAGTACTGTATTTGTCAGTAGTTTGATTAGAACTTCAGTAAATGAATGCTTTAAAAGCCATGGTGAGTTGTCTTTAATAGGTAATGATAAAAAAATAAAAATATTCATTTTCTGATAGTGTTCACTTTTACTCTTCATCCAGAGTAGTCTGAATTCAGCGATTCTAAAGACATTTCATGTAGCCCTATCATTTTGTTATATAACTTTTAAATTAAATGTCCTCTTCTGGTTGCAATTCAACCAGTGGAAAAGGTAGCTCCATCCTGCTTCCCTGCTGGAGGTTACAAACTTCCCAGTCTGCATCAGTCAAACAAGCTGAAATAATTTTCACAGCAATAGATCATGAAGACATTGCACAAGAGCAAGAGTTAAGCATGGACTGTGACTTATGGAAAAAGGTGTAGTTAGAAGCAGCTGGAGTGAGGATTTGGCCTGCACAGTTGCAGTTGGAAAAGGTGCTTGATGTGTTGATGTTTTCATTTAAAGCTGCTGCTTGTGCCAGAGACAATACCAGTGTGATTGTCATTACTGTTCTCTATTATGTGCTCACTGTCAGGATGCTAGGCATCCTCAGGTGTCAGGAGGGAATATGTGGATTGAAACTAATTCAAGCCTGTTGCTCTCTTCAATATTCTTCTGCTAGCTGTTCAGTTCTTATACTCTTTATTGAGCTTAGCCATGTATATGCTCCTCCCATGCTGGACTGGCTAACTCAGAGGTATTCACACTCTTAATGAACTCAGATAAAATAATTTACATCACCAATTGATCCACTCAACTCATTGATCCAACCTGATATGAAGAATCCTTGAATATAATTCACTGCAATAATAAAGACTTATAAAATATGATCAACCAAAACTATGATAAACCCTTTATCAATGAGTTATCAAAGGTGGGGCCTCAATTTGAGTGCTGTATGCAGTTTGGTGCCCACAATTTAGAAAGAATGTGAAGGTCTTTGAATGTGTCCAGAGAAGGACCACCAAGCTGGTGAAAGGGCTGGAAGGCATGTCCTGTGAGGAGCAGCTGAGGACTCTGGGTTTGTCTAGTTTGGAGAAAAGGAGGTTGAGGGGTGACCTCATGGCTCTCTGCAGCTTCCTGAGGAAGAGACATGGAGAGGGACGTGCTGAGCTCTTCTCCTTGGAATCCACTGACAGGGTGTGTAGGAATGGTTCAAAGCTGCATCAGGGGAGTTCCAGATAAGGAAACATTTATTTACTGAGAGGGTGATCAAACACTAGAAGAGGCTTCCTAGAGAGGTGGCTGATGCCCCAAGCCTGTCAGTGTTTAAGAGGCAATGCCCTTAATAATATGCTTTCAGTTTTGGCCAGCAGTGAAGTGGTCAGGCAGTTGGACTACATGATCGTTGTAGGTCTCTTCCAACTGGAACTATTCCATACTTTTCTAAAAAAATAAAAATCTAAATGTTCTGTATTATTGTAACAGCTATGATAATATTTGAAAATTGTGTGTGCTGATAGTGTGCATTTAGGTTATAATAGTATTCCAGTAATCTTTTCCTTTTATGTAAATATCCACTTTTATTAATTTCTACTTTCCATATTCCTGCTCAGCATTTTGAAATGGTCTGTCAACCTAATAAGTTACTTTAAAAAAATTATGCCATTACCCCATTCCTTCTAATGGAAAATGTGTATGCAGTTCTAGAAAAATAAAAGTATACTCTTACATGGTTAATACAAAAGTCATTTTAATGGTATTGAGCATGTCTTATGATTTGTTCTACTGGCATTTTGGGAAGATTGTACATGAGTAAAGAGAAACAATTAATTGCTGCTATATTCCAAAATATTCAGATGTTGTACAAAGCAGTGGGTGCAGTAGAGCAGAAATACTCTGATGACAATCCCTATGATACACACGCTTACCCACTGATGATTTTAAAAAAAATTAATTATATTATTTTGAATCAGAGGGAACATGAGCTTTAAAGAGAAATATAAGGAGATTTTATTGATTTTAGCGTTTTGAATGAAATTTTGTATTGTTGATGCAGACAAAGCTTTCAGACTGATTGTCAGAAACATGTTTAATTCCCTCTAAGTTGATAAAATAATCGAAAGTTATATCCACTGCGAGCAACTAAGTACGATGCAGCAGCTCACTCCCCTGCTTTTCTCTTTCCCAGTGGGATAGGGAGGAGAATCGGGGGGGAAAAAAGTAGAACTCATGTGTTCAGATAAGACCAGTTTAATGAAACAAAGTAACATATAATAACAATAATAATGATAATAGCAATAATTATAATAAAAATGAGAGAGAGACTGGAGCACTCCTTTTAATTTCCTTTCCTCTTTTATGTCATTATTGCTTTTTTTTCCTGTTGTACTTCTTCCTATCCCACATCTCATTTCTTTTCCTAAGACTACCTTTCTCTTTTCCTCAGTGACATTATGGTCTCACTGTCTTGCATTCCTGTTGTTTCTTCCCATCTATAGTTACCTTAACGACTTGGACCGCATAGCAGATTCAGCCTATCTGCCAACTCAGCAAGATGTGCTTAGAGTTCGAGTCCCAACAACAGGGATCATTGAATACCCATTTGACTTACAAAGCGTCATTTTCAGGTAGAAAAAAGTTTAACACCCGTTTGTTTTGTTTATTGTGTTTCCTTTTACATTAGTAATACCATGTATAAGATATTGGTCAAATATACAAATGAGTCAATGTTTTTTTAAATTTGAGCTTGGTGTTAATTTTATTTTCATGTTTTTGTCCATATATGATTAGCAGCTGTTGTTAAAGGTGTAAAGAGAATGAGAGACAGATTTGTCTTTTTCTGAAGGTAGTTATTATTGATAGAAAATCTGGAAGTAATTTTTCAATAAAATTAGTAAAAATGTACTATTATGAATAATTATGAAATGGAAAGGTACCACTTCTGTACTTGATTTTTATAGAGAAGTGATATTTTGCAAATGCAATGCCATTCTTGCAATTTTCCCCACAGCTCATTTTGAGGGCAAATACAATTGCTAAAGAATAACTATGCAGTTACAAGTACAAGTTAGACACCTGAGTGTCTAGTTACATTGAGATCCATAATAAATTTGGAGTACACTCTGCCAGCAAATTTGAGTTTCTATTTTGGCTAGTAACAACTTCAGTAAAACAGATTATATACTATTTATACTCTTAAAATTGGGCAGCCTTGACAAGTTTGGAATTTTGACTGGCAATTTCTTGGGAGAATGGCAGGCCACCAACTTAATTCCGTGGATGCATTTCTGCTGAATATGCAGAGCATACATTCTAGAATTGTGACTCAAAATCATAAGTGTTTAGAATAACAGAAATTTGAGGGCTTTGAGACCCATAATAATTTAAATTCAGAAAGCAGATCAAACTAAAAAGCAAATAGGATAACTTATTTATTTACAACATATTCCATTAGTCTTTAATATGAATGATAGCAGTTTTAAGAAGAAGAAGAAAATTGTTTTCAATTAAATTCTTGAATTCAGTGTTTCATGTGTTTGTATGTTTATCTGCAAAGGTATTTGTGGAGTTGATGCGATCATTGTTAATTTTGCAGAATGGTGGATGTAGGAGGCCAACGATCGGAAAGAAGAAAATGGATACATTGCTTTGAAAATGTCACATCTATCATGTTTCTAGTAGCTCTTAGTGAATATGATCAAGTGCTTGTGGAGTCCGACAATGAGGTAAGCAAGCATTAGCATAAATCACCAGTTTTAAAGAAAAAAACCCCTAAAATTAATTTTAAATTTTATTAGAAAATTGATTAAAACACAAATTTGTAGAGAGTTTTGGTATGTATGTTTTTACATGTATATTTGGATATTAATTTTTTTTGACCAGTAAAGTTTAATGATAGATTGAATACTTCATGCTAAGCAGCAAAATAAAAGGTTGCTAGTCCTTTTAAGACGCTTTCAAAGCAGGCTGGCTTGTTTTCCAAATATCTACCAGCAGTTGTATGCAACTGCATGGAATGAAATGAGAAGTTCTTCATGGATTAAGATGCTAATCTTCAAATAATATGACACAAACTAATCTCTTCCATGGAAGGTCAGTGGAACCCATCTATTTTGTGTTAAAGGTGGAATAGCTGACGGAAATGTTCTTATTGTAGCTATTTGCATGGTTAATGTTGTGTAGCAAAGCCATAAAAATACAATGGGAATTAAAACAAAATTCATATATTCTTTGCTAGAACAGACCCTATAGTAGTAAACTTCATTCCATTGACTTAAAGTATAGGATTTATATTGGCTTATATTTCCTACTTCTGTTTCTATTTTAAAAGATAACAGAAGTAAAAAACTCATGGGTGATGATACATGAACTAAGTAGGAAAAGTGCAGGAGTACCCAGTGTTATGTACACAATTTTAAAAAGTAGGGGGGAAATTTAATGTTTGGACTTTTTCTTTCATAAAGACTATTCCCATTATTCATCAAACTTACATGAGTTACTCACCAACACTGTTCTATGCAAGTTTTTAGCATTCATTTACAAAATTTAGGTGAAAAAAAGAAAACATTTTGTTGTTCGTCATGACTGTATATATATGTTGATTTCATTATTCAAGAGAAGGGTTGATATACCAAGGTAAAACAGATGTCCTGGGGCAGTCATGATTGTATTCTCAACTTTTTCGATATTAATTTTTTTCAAGAAAGACTAGTTCTGAGAGCTTTTAAATTTATACTTTTCCCATAAAAGAAAGAAATCTCATTACAGTCTTTATATCATCAGACATCTCCTTAAAAAGTACAGATGTTACAAAGAAAAAAAAATCAGTTGCTTATACAGTGAATATATCTTCTCATTTATTTTTGTATTTTTTTTTAACTTGGAAGGTATCAGAATGCTTTTATTTTGTTTTGTAAGGCATATATTTGATGTTGTGGTCCAAACAGTAATGGAGTCTGGTAATACATCATAAAACAAAGCTTTATTGAGAAAGAAAGATGAACAAAAATTCCCCCATATAGCAACTCACCCAATCACCAATAGTGAGTACAGGATCATAAGCAATGCCATGGCTCTGGTGGACTGCCAGGGACATTTGATGTCAGGGTCATCTGGCAGAAACAGCCAATCATGCAAATGCATTTTGAATGTGGAAAAGAGTTTTGACAGTGTAGGTCGGGGGCAGAGTGTTGGCAGACTTTCTAAGATAACAGTATTGGTTAAGGGACGGGGTGTCAGAAGTCAAGATGTCACTTCCACCCTGTGATTCTCTCAAATCATCATTTGACATGGAGTTATAGGCAAGGGTTTTATTTTGATGGGTTGTTAGTTATATAATAATCTAGGTGAGGTTGGTGTTCCAACACCTACAGGGTATGTTATACAGTCAGAGGTTGAAAGGTGGTGTATCACAAGACAGGTACTGTAGAATCACCTCTATCAAGTATCAGTTGTGCAGGCATCTGGAGGTGATTACTGTTATGAATGGAGAGGAGAGCTTAAAAAAGTCCTGCCTTTGACTCAGATTTCTGGCAGTAGCTCTGTTGGGGGGAGGCCTGCACCCCAGATCCCTCTTGCTCGTGCGTTCTTAATCATAGCTGAGTCAGTATATTACAAAATGAATAATTTATTTACTAGACACAAATTTAACAGATATTAGACTTTTACAGATTACTTCCTACACAGGATAAACAAACGAAACACTACTAGTAGATAAACAATAGAGTGCACAAGTGAGTTACCTATTATTACAGCTAGCGAAGAAATAGTATAGATTAGGATTCAATGTATCTTACCATCCAATTTCTGATGGGGCACACATAGGATCCTTTCCTCTGTTTCCAGAAAAGTAACCACAAAGATGCGTCCAAGTTTTGAGAAGTCCTACGCATTTCCAGGGAGTGTGTAGGAGACTTCTACCTCCGTGAAAATTTGTGTAGCTTTTATAGTTGTAAAAGTAGTGCCTTTCAGTCTAGGATTCCTGGCTTATCTCTCTACATCTTGCTCTCAAGGCAAGGGATGTTTATTATCAGCTGGGGATCTCACCTCCCTCAGTAATTCATGTGAGGGGAGAGAATGTCCGGAGCTATGCACCAGCTGATGGACAGAGAAGATAAGCAGATAAGTTTTTTTGTGGTAGAGAGGGGATGTCCTGCCACAATTGCTACTGCATTTTCCCAATTGCTGTGAGAGGCTGTGAAAAAGATTACAACCAGCTTTTGTTTATATCTAGTGGCCCCAACCCCAGTCAGGGAGTGGCTTGACATGACTGGAAAATGTTTTATAACACAGTCCACAACCCCATACACTGATATGAAACAAAACATAAATAATGACAAATTAGATAATTTCAAAAAGCACAGCCAAAATATTTTGACAGATGCCCTGAGATATGGGAACTAAGAGGTAAGCCATGACCAGAATTTGCCAATTCCCCAATGAATATCTTCAGTTGCTACCTGGTGCAAGGGCTTTAGTTGTTCCTGGATTTTCTTAAGGTCAGTCTAAATGCATAGATTTTGGCTGACACAGACACAGCAGGTAGTATTTACTAATGTGCAAATCCCACTTTGTCAAGTACTCTGAAGCTAGTGGTTTTGAACAGTAGTCTGTGGTACTTGAGCAACTTCTTGCTGCAGTGCTTGGATGGCATCAATTGTTACATTTTCTATATTTTCCAGAGTAGCAGAGAGATTGATGATTGCTTTCTCCAGCTCAGAGACCCCTAGACAAGGAAGTTCAGGGAAACTGGTGAAATATGCATGTTCATTCTACTAAAGGGTTAAAACCACACCAGTGTCACAGGGCATCAGGATATTTATGGACATGGGTCCTGAAGAGGTTTACTTCAACATGCATTGCAGGCACGATTAGTCTGGGTGCATAGACCTCCTCTCTCTTCATGGGAGCATTGTCATGGCACAGCTGCTGCACAGCCAGTATAGGCCAGGGGCACCTATTTTGATAAGGTCACAGCAGCAAGTGGTGTCTTTCAGGCAATTGTCAATATTGGCATGGTAGGTTTGCATGGTGTAAGATGAATCCTGTTGCATGGTTTGTTATTGTTCATGGGACAGATGATAGCCCATAAAGTTTTGGAGGGCATAGAATTCTGATCCATGATTTACCAAAGTGGCAGTCAGTAGTCAGTTTTTGAGAGACTAGCCTAAATAGAGTAATATCTAACAAAGATTTTTCATGCACAGCCCCACAATTCCACCAATACCTGCATTCCTACTGCAGGAAAACCTTGGTTCACAGATGCAGTATGCTATGTACAAATCCAACAATCAGTTCCCTTCCTGACATTCACCGTCAGCTGAGAGAATTAGCAAGTTAGGATACCAACTGGCAAGGTTCTGGTGTACCTCTTGGGGAAGAGTAGCTTGAAAGATGCTCTGCAAAAAAGGACCTGGGGGTGTTGGTCAACAGTTGGCTGAATATGGGCCAGAAGTGTACCCAGGTGGACAGGAAGGCCAATGTCATCCTGGCTTGTGTCAGTGTCATGGTTTAACTCCAGCCAGCAACCAAGCCCCATGCAGTCACTCTCTCACTCCCCCACCAGTGGCATCTGGGAGAGAATCAGAAGGGTAAAAGCCAGAAAACTCATGGGTTGAGATAAAGACAGTTTAATAGAGAAAGCAAAAGCCATGCACCCAAGTAAAGCAAAACAAGGAATTAACTGCTTCCCGTGGGCTGGCAGATGTTCAGCCATCTCCAGGAGAGCAGGGCCCCATCACACATAATGGTTACTTGGGAAGACAAATGCCATCACTCCAAATATCCCCCCCTTTCTCCTTCTTCCTCCCACTTTATATACTGAGAATGATGTCATATGGTCTGGAATATCCATTTAGTCAATTTGGGCCACCTGTCCCGGCTGTGTCTCCTCCCAACCTACCATGCACCCCCAACTTCCTTGCCAGCATGGCAATACAAAAGCAGAAAAGGCCTTGGCTCTGTGTGTGCCCTGCTCAGAAACAGCAAAAACATCTCTATATTATCAACCCTGTGTTCAGCACAAATCCAAAACACAGCCCCATACCAGCCACTGGGAAGAAAATTACCTCTAGCCCAGCCAAAACCGTCACAACCAGAAATAGCGAGGCCAGCAGGACTAGGGCAGTGATCATTCTCCTGTACTTGGCACTGGTGAGGCTGCACCTTGAGTACTGCATGCAGTTTTGAGCCCCTCACAACAAGAAAGACACCGAGGTGCTGGAGCGTGTCCAGAAAAGGGCAATGAAGCTAGTGAAGGGTCTGGAACCCAAGTCTTATGAGGAGCTGCTGAGGGAGCTGAGGATGTTTAGTTTGGACAAAAGGAGGCTCAGATGAGAACTTATTGCTCTCTACAGCTACCTGGAATGAGGTCGTAGGGAGGTGGATATCAGTCTGTTGTCCCATGTAAGAAGCAATAGAACAAGAGGAAATGGCCTGAAGTTGCACCAGGGGAGGTTTAGATTTGACATTAGGAAAAAAATTATACATCAAAGGGGTTGTCAAGCATTGGAACATCGTACCAAGAAAAGTGGTTGAGTCAGCATCCCTGGCAGTATTTAAAAGATGTATAGGCATGGTGCTTAAGGACATGGTTTAGTGGTGGACTTGACAGTGCTGGGTTAATGGTTGGACTTGATGATCTTTGAGGTATTTTCCAATCTAAATGATTCTATGATTCTATGACTATCCTTAAGAACAGTATCTACAGCATATTCAAAAGAGGGGC